TGGGATTCAGTCTTGCTAGTTTTGAGCCTTTATTCTATCTTGTTGAAAACGTTAGAACCCTTGTTCTGTTGGTGAAGGTTCTGGCTGTCTGTCCCAGCTGAGTGTCGGTCCTGGTTCTGGTAAGTTTGTCCGGTCCCATTTCTTCACATAGGCCAGTGATCAGAGTGGTGGTGGGTGTGTGGGAGGTCCGACGCTGTAGCGTCCCTTGGAGGCCTTCCTCCCTGTTGATCCTGGACACAGGCACTGCAGTGTTCCAGCCACTTTTCATCTTGTCCCCACACTGTGAGGGGAGGCTGGGTATATGCGTCCTTCTGTCTCGAGTGACCAGTATGGGAGGCCTCTCAGTGGAGAGAATGATGCCATATAATTGATAGGCTTTTATAGTGCTTTGTTTTTATTTCAAACCTGGGATAAAATATTTGGAAACTATTCCTACTTCATAAAGCAGGACATTATGACAGTAGAATTTAATCTGCTCTCTCAGCAGGTCAGTTACAAAGTATGTTTTGATCTGTGTTAACATTTCTGCAAACTATTTCTTTTGTTCTTCAATGCGATTTCAGTCCTATGGACATGTAGTGAAAGTGAAGTAAGGTATTTAAGGATCGGTGCACAGGTGTGCTCAGGTACCGTTTGCTGTGGTCCACAAACAAGTGGCCAGAGTCTGTTAATGTGGTGCAGGGCCTGGAAGAAAAATACACGCATTTACAAATGCATGTGACCCGAGCTTCCTGAGCAGGATGAAGGGCTGCTGGGGCGGTCTTGCTGGGTCCCCTTTGGCTCTGGAAGCGCCCCTGCCACACACATCCCAGCCTTGGAAGAACTGCAGGCCTTCCCAGCTGAGGGGGCGGGCTGTGCGGCAGGCTCTGTCCCTGGGGAAGTAGGTGCGGCCTTGGGGAGGCGAGTCCGGGATGCCCAGCGCAAGGCTCCCACCACCATTGGGTTCCGTCCTCCCTGGTCCCGTGGAAGGAGGAGGTGGAGGGTCCCCGGGTAGTTCCTGCAGCTTACTTACACGTGCCGGAACTGTGTAATGAAATACTCAAGATGTTTGGCTGTTTAAGTAAAATGTCACGTGTGGGTGAGGGTGTCAGTTGTAGAGGCTTTGCTGGAAAATACAAGACGGTGAGCTCTCTGAAATAAGAGATGATAGGTGATAAAGAGGTGAAAAAATAAAAACCAGAGAACATCCTTTTGAGACTACAATGCAGTCGTCAGTTAAAAGGACATCTTTGTGGTAGTTCTGATAGAGCATTTTGGGGATTGGGAGGAGAAAAATTGTATTCAAGACTTCTCAGAATTAGGGGCACTTCACTGACTTTTTAAAAAAGAATCTTAATGATGAATCTCAAGCTTTCATCCCTGTATAATTTTAAAAGTTTGGAACTTTACTTTTCCTAATCTTTAAGACAGTGCCCCCCCTTTCCTTGTCAGCCTGAAAATATCCCCATTTGCAGTACCTGGTGGCTCATATTCACCCCCTGCAATGTAGGGGAGAGGCCCCTATTCTGTGATGTCACCGAGACAGCAAACGGGCCCCATCCAGCAGTCGTGCGGGACTGTCAGCGTGACCGAGGCAGCAAGAGGGTCTGTTACTTTCGCGGAAATAAATGAATTATATCCATTATTTATGGGGCTAAATAATGACCTTCATGAAGGAAATAGAGGGGGTGGGAAAGTGGGAGCGTCCTTGTTTTAAACACTCAGGAGAAGGAGCCACAGACAAGGCCCTTCCGGAGAGCCCGGGTAATGGCATCTCGGAAGAACCCCCGTGTGGGTTGCCGGGTTTGAAGCCGAGTCGGAGGAACGCCCCGCAGAAGGCTGCGCTGGAAGCGGCGGGTGGCAGCCGCCCCGGGGTGCCTGCCCCCTGCGTGCCTGCCCCGGCCCCTCCCTGGGCCCCACCCGGTCTCTGGGAGGAGGAACAGCACCCAGGCTCGCTCCGCATACTGTGTTTTCAGTGGAGAAGGGGAAAAGGGAAGGGGCGCTAATACTCAGCAAGAATTCAGTGCTTTAAAAACAGAAACAGAAAGGAAGGTGCCTACGGAGTGAAGCCCGGCGAGGCCTGAGTGGGAGGAGAGGGCCTCCCGTGTGCCGAGGGCCGGTGTGTGCCTGGGGGCCTGGGTTCTGCCCCTGTGCCCGGGGGCTGCCAGGAGCCTCTGGAGAGCAGTGCACAGGGCAAGCCGGGCGCCCCTGGGGATCACGCTCTGTCCGCTCTCTGTGCCATGTGCTGGGCGGCAGCCGGCCAGGCCCCCTGAGCTGCTTTCCTCACCTCCGGTGCCTCTCCCCTAGCGGGAAGGGGCTCTACGGTGACCCGCAGGCAGCACAGAAGACGAAGCTCTTGGGCCCCTTTGCTTTAAGCATGTGAAACGTGTGCTCCTCGAGGGCAGAGGTGGCTCATCCCGCCTGGTGGCAGGGGACCTGGAGACGCCCGCGTGGGGCGTCCTGCAGCCACGAGTCCTCGAGGTCCTGCAGATGCGCGGGCCTCTGCAGGAGGAGCACGGGAGGCCGGATGACCCTGGTGGGCCCTACTTCTTTGGGGGATTCCACCGAGTGTATGAAGTGCTCCGTGAATAAAATCAGAATGGCCCTCGCGGACCGGGAATGGGACCCTGGGTGCTTCTCCCCTGGGGCCACGGGAGCCCCTCTCACCCGCTTTGACTTGGCTGTGCAGCAGCGTGACAGGGTTTAGTCACAGCGCTTTGCTGCCCACTCAGCTCAGCAGTGTTGATCCCAGTGGCAGGGGTGCCAGCCCCGGACACAGGGAGGTGGGGAGGCAGTGACCGGTGGCCCGCGCCTCTTGCAGTGGACCCGGAGCTTGCCTCTGATGTTGAAGTTCACCAGGCCCACTAACTGAGTAGCTGGGCCACAAAGGCTGCCAGGTGGAGCACCTGCTCCTCAGCTGCCCTCTAGCTCCCCTGTCCTGAGCTGTCCCCAGTCATCGCCCCGGAGCAGGGCGGCCCGGGAAAGCCAGAATGCCACCGGCCCACGACCAGCATCCCCGGCCCACGACCAGCGTCCCCGGCAGACCACATTGCCCTGCCCCACCGATGACTCGGATCACTTAGCACCACATCACCTCTTTTAGCTTCTGATGTAGTGTCTTGGTCAGAGGTACTGGACTTGTGCTTTCATGGTTTATGGTCTGTTCTGCAGCATGAAGCCCAGGGCCTCGGACAGATGTGCTCTGAGAACTCCATGGACGTTCGTGTCAGGTTACGCTGGCCTCCATGTTTCAACATGCAAATTTTAGTAATAGTCTTTGGCACGTTTTTTCATAAATCCCATTCCTTTCACAGGAAATATTAGGTTCCCCCAGCCCTGGTGTTAACTCTCTTTAAAAATCTAAAAATGAGTTTGACCGAACTGAGCATCTGTCTGAAATAGAAGCCAAGATATTCCCCCATATTTGTTCCAGGTTGAATGGTTTTATCGGAGCAGCTTTCCGGGGCTGCCTGGTTTGCCTTCTGGGTGATACTGGGCACCATGTATGATGGGCAGACGGACAGACAGCCATACCTGACTTAATGAAAATGCAAACTTTTCAGAGCCGTCAGGAAGCCGAAAATTCATGCCTCCTTTCCTTACCTCTTCACCAGTCTGGTCCCTGCATACCGGTAACTATTTTGTGGATATAATCTTGTAAAATCGCTTACAAGCAGCTTGCCGGCCACCTAGTGCTGGGAAATGGACATTTCCTGCTCCACCCCTCTGGCTCCGCGGTGGATGCATCCTGCGAAGGATGTTGGGGTGCTTTGCTGAAGACTCTTTTGGGGTATTTTTTTTTAAACCCATTTGATGGGATTCTTGAGGTGTAACAACAGATTAAAACATTTCTGAAGAGCATTCTGTGTTAACAGGTGCCTACATTCCCCTGGAATGTTAAAATCTCTAAAAAAAAAATATTATTTAAAAACCAGTGTTTGGTGTGGGTGATGGTTACGTGAGTGTGTGCACATGTCAAAGAAAGGAAACCCCACAGCACTGGGCCTTCTTCTGAGACTGCATTAATGTTTAACTTGTTTCCATGGTGATGGGGCTGTCACAAGATAAGACCCCCCCACCCCCCAAGGATGTACTGGTGGTGAAGAAGTCACGCTCCATAGGGTGGGAAGGGCTAAGCTATCTCAGGACACCTGTGGACCTTCTCAAATTTGACTCGTAGGTTTAAGTAAACCCGAGGTCATCAGTGTAGACTTGAAGGGGCAAGACCGCATGCACCAGGCCATCTGTTGCTCCAGCACGCAGGCAGGCCCCCGGGTGTGGGGAGCAGGGGGTCCCCACCCAGGCTGCTCTGTTTCTTGCTGGCATGTTGCCTGGGAAGGGCAGAGGTGAATTGCTGGACTTGCCCCTCCCCTCTCATGCCTCTGAAGGAAGCTTGGTGTCAGGGGTTCGGATTTGCACCTTGGACCTTACGAGAAAGTCACGGGGACCCTTCTGGACCAGGTCGCACTCTGCCTGTAGCCCAGGTGTTTGTGAATCAGATGCAGGGTCCCTGGGGCAGAGGAAGCTGTGTGCCTTGGTGTGACTGCTGGCCGTGCATGAGCCTGAGTCTTCTCACCGTAACTGAGGCGGCTGTGCGTCCACAGGGGCCCTCCACGTACCCGCGTTTGGGAGCTCTTCCGGAGTCATGAAGAGCCTCAGTGTGCTGTTGTAAAGCAGGATTTTCCTCGGTTTTGGTAATTAGTCACCCTCTGTTATCTAGTAGCTATGTCCTTGCAGGTAACTAGATGCGCAGCTGTTTTATTTTCCCCTGCAGTCTGCTGAGTCATCTCGTCAATGGAAATCAAATTCACACCCCAAGTGCCATCCCACCGCCCTTAACGTTCAGTCAGCTCCTAACAGAGCTTTGCCCAGTGCAAACCGGCCTGCAGGGTCGCGTGTTTTCCTAAGGACACGTGCGCCCTCTCCACGCGTGAGCCCCCGTGCCTTTTGGGTGCTTCTTTGTACCTTGTTCTGTTCTGATGAGAAATGATAACTCCCCGTTTCACGTTTTGATCCTCCAGGGGGAAAGCGAGGCCGCAGCTGCTTTTCTGGAGAGGTAGCACCAGCTGTGCGCCCCAGCGGAGGCCAGACTCGCAGACCGGGAGGCACCCTGCTGGAGAGGGGCGCCCGGGAGCCCAGGGCGGGGAGCGCTGCCTCCGCGTCGCTGCTTGAAAGCAGTCATCGGGATGCTTCCCGGAGGCCGGGGCCGCCCAGGGTTCCCATGGACTTAAAGACGCCAGCGCTTCAGCCCAGGCAGGAGGGCCCCGGCCCACGCAGTACCGACTTCCGTCTGGATCTGGATCCGGATCCGACTTCTCCGGAAGGAGCAGACCCGCCGCTCTCGTCCCAGAACCAGGGCGGCCGCCTGCACAGGGAGCCCTTGCGTTTGCACACGGAGGAGCCTCCTCGGGGAGGAAGGCGAGCACCGGCCCCAGACCTGGTCCCGCTGGACCTCAGTGAGCGGTCCACCAGGGCCCACTCCGGCTGCAGGGGCTTGGCCTCCCCGCAGGCGGCTCTGGCCATCCACCCGTGTCCTTACTGCGACCACAAGACCTACTACCCCGAGGTCCTATGGGTGCACAAGCGCATCTGGCACAGAGTTAGCTGCAGCTCTGCAGCCCCCCAGTGGATTCAGCCTAACGGCTACAAAAGTATCAGACACAACCTGGTTTTCCTTGCCCGGAGCGGCCGCACGGGCCCCCCACCTGCCCTCGGGGGCAAGGAGTGCCAGCCTCTGCCCATCGCCCGGTTCACGCGCACGCAGGTGCCGGGCGGGGCGCCAGGGCCCAAGGGCAGCTCCTCGCCCCTGAACGTGACCACCAGAGCCGCCGGCATGCCTCGGAGCAAGGAGAGCCACCCCGGGGGCTCCTGCGCGCTTTGGGCAGCCGGCCCCGATGGGCATTGGCAGAGCAGGCCCGGCCCCGGCTCCGAGCAGCACGGAGCTCCAGCCCTGCTGCCCCCACAGAAGACCAGGCAGGAGGCCGGCCCCAGACCGGGTCCCACGACGGGCGGCGGCTTCAGCAGGAGCGCCACCCCCACGCCCACCTCTGTCACCTGGGCAGGCTCCCAGTCCCCGGCCAACAGCAGGCCAGGGGACAAGTACATCGTCCCCGCAGTGGGGACCAGCCTTGGCCACCTGAATAAGCACAGTGCCCCGGATCCTCTAAAAGCCAAATTTAGCCCTCAACCTCAGGGTCAGCTGCATGGGATAGGTGATGGGGGCCCCCCTCTACCTCCCCAAGAGCCCCCCTCCAAGGCCGGCCAGGAGCTGCGGCCACTGGCCGGCTGCGGAGGGGGCTCCAGAGGGAATGCAGCCTCGCAGGGGCAGCCCGTCCTGCATGCTGCCAAGCAGGAGTCCGTGTCCGAGGGCCACGAGAAGCGCCTGGACATCCTCAGCATCTTTAAGACGTACATTCCAAAGGACTTCGCTTCCCTCTACCAGAGCTGGGGTGCCAGCGGGCCTGTACCAGAGCACCGAGGTAAGGCGTGCAGCACCTCCCCTCCTGCCCTCACAAGCAGAGGGTCCTCAGTGGGTCCTCCAGGGAGTCTTCCTCTAGGAGGCCTTGATGCTGCCCGTCCTTTGTGTCTGGGTGCCGAACGGAGCGCAGCCGAGCTGCGTGTCCATCACAGGGCAGCCTGCTCGCTTGGGATGGGCTTGGTGTCATGGGTGGTCAGCCTGCTGGCCCCTGCAGGGCTTCCCTCCTGGCTGTTAATTTGGAAACCCAGTTACATCTCCATGCTGAAGTTTGATAGGAGCAGGCAGCTTGGATGGCATTTCACTTTCTTTGTCATTTTAAACAAACAATGCATTGATGTCCTTGTCCCTTGTCTTTTGAAAGACAATGTTCGCTTGAAGTGATTAAGTTTTATTTTTACATGCTTGTAATTTTAAAATGCATATTCATACTCCAGCATTAAAAAGCAAAGCCTTGCAGAGCATGAACGCCTAGAAAGTTTGGGGAATGAACTTGTGCTAAAATTCCAGAAAAATAAACCTTACATGGTGTGTTCCTTTCCTGCCATTATCTTGGTGTTGATACCTGATAGTAATAATAAGGAACTCGTGGTAGTTGTCCACATGGCCACTGAATGCGCATATTGTGTGTGATGTTCTTGAATGTAAATTGAAGGTAGCTCTCACTTAGCATCCAGAATACTAGGAAACAAGTATTTTCTATTAAAAATGAAAAAAGCCAGGCAAACAAAACCCTGTAGAGTTGTCTTCAGTTCATTGGCCCTGGGTGATCCTGACCCTTCATTCAGCGGAACCCTGTGCCATGCATCTATAATTTGTTAAAGCAGGTTGCCACCTGAAATGGCCTTTGAGATCTGGACCCTTAGGTTCCAGGAAGGTGGAAGCACTTTTGGGGACATGGTTTAAGTTTTGCAGAAGTTGCATCAACAGGGGGGCCCTCATTCACTGTGTGTGATGTCTGGGTGGCCACACCACCTGGCGGGCAGATGCTGGTCTCTTTGGAGTCGCCGGTTTTTCCTGTGCCTTTGGAACCTGCCCAGATCACCAGCACGCTGGCACCACCAGGGTATGAGGCGGGATGCCCGTGGTTCAGCTTCACCCTTGGGGGAAACCAGGTGTCCTGCAGCCTCGGGTTCGGCCAACTTGGTTTCTGCTCCTGTTTGGAAGAGGGTGGATCCCTGTGGCTCTTGCCCGGAGCCAGCACTTCCTGTGGACTTTCTGGAATGAAGCCCCAGGGCTGCTGACGGGTCTGTGGCAAGGGGGTCACAAGGCGCAGTGAGCACCCATGGGTGCTCTTTAAGGTCCCTTCTCCTGGTAAAGGGTCTTGGAGCTCAGGGGACACTGGCTGCGCTGGGGCTGAGTGTTGTCACTTGTCACTTTTCTGCTTTCAGTTAAGTGAACATCACCCAACCTCAGTGATGTTTTCCAGTCACACAGATTATTTGCTAGGAATTGGGGTAACAGAATAGTGGTTGGCCTTTTGCATCTGATAGTGACCTCGGTCCTTTAGATTTGGGTTTCCTTGGACCCTAAAGCCAAGGAGCTTTAAGATGCTAGCTGACGGGCACAGGTCAGTGGGTGTCAGGGTCCCGGCAGCCTGGTGCGCCTCCTGGTGTTGTCCGTGGCCACCCTCCAGCTCAGCGAGCCAGACGTGTGCACCACTGTTTAAATGCCCTCACTTAGGGAGCCGGATTTCTGCTTTAATCAGTGGTAGTCAGATGGCCTACCGGAATCACACCGCTCTGAACCTGCCCCTTTACACTAGCGAGCAGCCTCCCTGCTCTTTAAAGGCCCCTTGTGCTGTTGTGTGGGCCTGTGTTGTTGTGGCTTTTTTTCCTCCTAAAGAGTAGAAGTGAATTTTAAGTTAAGGTTTTGAGAATTTCAGGTAACAGAATTTGAAGTACAAAATAGCCTGAAATGTTTTTCTTTTCTTTAGAATTGTTTACATAAATAGTTCTGAGGCTATTTTTTTAAAGAAGGGTTAAATGTTTATTTTTTTAAAGTTAAAAATGCTCACTTGTCCATAAAGCATGTGGGCTCTTGAATTATTTACTCTTTTCCTGTATACACGAAATACAGTTAGGTATAGGGCAGCAAATTTATGGTGTTTTAAGTTCACTCTGACTTGGGCTTCTTGAAGGCAGTGTTTTAAACTCTTTGGCCAGAATATACGAAGTGCTTTTTTGGATCATGGCTTCTTGGGAGGAGTGATGCGTGGAGGTCAGCTTGACCAAAGCCTTTGACAGTTTGATTGAATGTCCTGGGTGGAGTGGCCTCTTCTCCGGGCGGACCCCGCCAGCCCTGGGCCCCACTGTGGGGCCATGTGGAGCCGGCCAGAGCCCCTCGGCGTGACAGGCCCCAAGCCTGCAGACACTCCTCATTGCCTCTCCTGAATCTGCATCCTCACCTATCCTGACCTTTGTAGGCCCTGCCTGGCCGCTGGGCCTCCACTGGCTCCCGCCTCGTCCCAGTGTTTATGACACTCTTGAAGGGCTGCAGCCAGGAGACCCAGCTGCCTGGTGTGGTCTGACCGAAAGGTGAACAGAGTATTAATGTTTCCTGTTATGGAGACTCTACTTGTATTATTGCTGCCCAGGAAATGTGTGCAGCCAAAAAATTACGTTATTGGCACATGTGCCAGTGACCAACCTTCCAGAGGTTTTGTTTCCCACTTGTTGCCATACACCCCTGCCTTCTCGTGCACTAGACAGTTGGTTTGGGGGTGACAAATCTAAACTCTTACTTGGCTCTGTCCAGTACGGTCCTTCTGACCTGTGTTGCTCTATGGCCTCTCGGCAACGTGACGCCCGTTTTCTTGTCAGACGCACTGCTGGGCATCTCCTTGTGGGGCGTCGTCTGCTGGCTGAAGGTCGTGACCCCTCCATACCGGCCACTGACTATAAACACGTTGCCATAGCATCACTTGGAGTAGGGGAGGCAGAGGTATGCAGATGAGAATTTTCCAGGAAAACAGTAATTCACAGCTGCATACATGAAATGGTTATGGGCACTGGATGTGTGATCTGTGATTTTTCAGTGGATATGCTCTGTGTAAAGAGAATATTACTATTGGGCTATGCCTTTAAGACATGAGGTTTTTTCAGAAGTTAGGGCAAATGATTCTCAGAGACCTTCCCCACATGTGTTTCTCCTGAGTGACATTTATGCAGAATGAATGGTCCAAAACCCCTGCCAGGAGGAAGGACCCCTAGGTGGGTGTGGTCATCGCCACTGCCCTTAGGAGCTGGGAGACTAACCCTTTAGGAATGAAAACATTTTCTGTGCAGGTACAGTGAGGCTGTCAGGTCACACTGTGACTGTAACATGAATGATTTGTTAAATAGTAATAATGTAATAAATTATCTGTGTTCCCAGACTTTGCAACTGGCTTATTTTATATGATAATATGGATTTCACAATATCTTCAAATAATTGAAGATAATAAAATGCAATAATTCTAGACGGACTAATAGCTAAAGTCTTTGTTATTGGGACTTTTAAAAAAAAGTTGCTTATGCCAAAGACTTCTTAATATGATGATGATGATGACAAATTTATATTCCTTTTGAATATGTTTGGAATTTTTGTTGAATCTTTGCAGCCTCTCTTTTCCCCTTGCAGATGGGCATGTAACACCTAATGAAGTTGCGTGACGCAGGACTCTAGAGGGGAGGCATGTGTGCCTCTGAAGCGTCCTCCCTTCACGTTTGAGTCCACTTTCCATACACAACTCCAATTTCTAGGACAGTGTTGGAGCTGTGTAGCTTGGGCATAATATTACTGACTGTAAGGCCAAGGGTCTTTTCTTTAAAAGTAAAGGGAAAATGATACGGTAAAATCATGGGAAAATTGTGCATGTGTATGAGTGTGTGCATGCATGCCTGATAAAGTGCCTGTGCATGCACACACTTCATTCGAGTGTGTTGAAGCATGCTGAAGTCGAGGAAATAGGAACGGATGGGTGGCAAGGCTGTCTTTTTTCTGCTGCCAGTTTGGATAGAACATAGCTAGCTAATACTTAGAGGACAGTACTATAATGACCTTGTTTTGGGATGTCTGAGTGTTAGATGCAAATGCCACACTGCTGTTGCCATCGTCGATGGGAGTCCGTTAGGGATAGTTAGCATCTGCATTTGGTGCAGTGTGATAACAGCAGGCAAAGTCCACACACAGAAGCAGGTGCCGCAGGTGGTGTTCCAGGAGCTCAGCTGCAGGGTGCTCAGAATGAAAAGGAACAAGGAAGAAGATTGCTTTGGAGTTAGTATTTCCATGGGCCAAAGAGGAAGGAAAGATACTCCTGCAAGGTGTGTTTAGTTAGGGTTTGAGCAGAGCACCCTTGGGGTGGGGTGTTTCTCTGTAGGCAGTGTGCTCAGAACCCCAGGACTTGGGGTGTGGGCGCCTTGGGAGTCCTGAGGCCCGTAGATTCACCGGGCACAGCCCTCCGAAGCCTCCCCTTCCACCCAGCTTGCTTAGCTAAAACTCTTGGCAAGAGGGTGCACACGGGAGAAGCATGGGGTGGCCAGCCCCTCAAGCTGCTCTGGCCGCTGCACTTCTGCGCTTCGTAGTGAATTTGAAGTACAAAATAGCCTGAAATGTTTTTCTTTTCTTTAGAATTGTTTACATAAATAGTTCTGAGGCTTTTTTTTTAAAGAAGGGTTAAATGTTTATTTTTTTAAAGTTAAAAATGCTCACTTGTCCATAAAGCATGTGGGCTCTTGAATTATTTACTCTTTTCCTGTATACACGAAATACAGTTAGGTATAGGGCAGCAAATTTATGGTGTTTTAAGTTCACTCTGACTTGGGCTTCTTGAAGGCAGTGTTTTAAACTCTTTGGCCAGAATATACGAAGTGCTTTTTTGGATCATGGCTTCTTGGGAGGAGTGATGCGTGGAGGTCAGCTTGACCAAAGCCTTTGACAGTTTGATTGAATGTCCTGGGTGGAGTGGCCTCTTCTCCGGGCGGACCCCGCCAGCCCTGGGCCCCACTGTGGGGCCATGTGGAGCCGGCCAGAGCCCCTCGGCGTGACAGGCCCCAAGCCTGCAGACACTCCTCATTGCCTCTCCTGAATCTGCATCCTCACCTATCCTGACCTTTGTAGGCCCTGCCTGGCCGCTGGGCCTCCACTGGCTCCCGCCTCGTCCCAGTGTTTATGACACTCTTGAAGGGCTGCAGCCAGGAGACCCAGCTGCCTGGTGTGGTCTGACCGAAAGGTGAACAGAGTATTAATGTTTCCTGTTATGGAGACTCTACTTGTATTATTGCTGCCCAGGAAATGTGTGCAGCCAAAAAATTACGTTATTGGCACATGTGCCAGTGACCAACCTTCCAGAGGTTTTGTTTCCCACTTGTTGCCATACACCCCTGCCTTCTCGTGCACTAGACAGTTGGTTTGGGGGTGACAAATCTAGACTCTTACTTGGCTCTGTCCAGTACGGTCCTTCTGACCTGTGTTGCTCTATGGCCTCTCGGCAACGTGACGCCCGTTTTCTTGTCAGACGCACTGCTGGGCATCTCCTTGTGGGGCGTCGTCTGCTGGCTGAAGGTCGTGACCCCTCCATACCGGCCACTGACTATAAACACGTTGCCATAGCATCACTTGGAGTAGGGGAGGCAGAGGTATGCAGATGAGAATTTTCCAGGAAAACAGTAATTCACAGCTGCATACATGAAATGGTTGTGGGCACTGGATGTGTGATCTGTGATTTTTCAGTGGATATGCTCTGTGTAAAGAGAATATTACTATTGGGCTATGCCTTTAAGACATGAGGTTTTTTCAGAAGTTAGGGCAAATGATTCTCAGAGACCTTCCCCACATGTGTTTCTCCTGAGTGACATTTATGCAGAATGAATGGTCCAAAACCCCTGCCAGGAGGAAGGACCCCTAGGTGGGTGTGGTCATCGCCACTGCCCTTAGGAGCTGGGAGACTAACCCTTTAGGAATGAAAACATTTTCTGTGCAGGTACAGTGAGGCTGTCAGGTCACACTGTGACTGTAACATGAATGATTTGTTAAATAGTAATAATGTAATAAATTATCTGTGTTCCCAGACTTTGCAGCTGGCTTATTTTATATGATAATATGGATTTCACAATATCTTCAAATAATTGAAGATAATAAAATGCAATAATTCTAGACGGACTAATAGCTAAAGTCTTTGTTATTGGGACTTTTAAAAAAAAGTTGCTTATGCCAAAGACTTCTTAATATGATGATGATGATGACAAATTTATATTCCTTTTGAATATGTTTGGAATTTTTGTTGAATCTTTGCAGCCTCTCTTTTCCCCTTGCAGATGGGCATGTAACACCTAATGAAGTTGCGTGACGCAGGACTCTAGAGGGGAGGCATGTGTGCCTCTGAAGCCTCCTCCCTTCACGTTTGAGTCCACTTTCCATACACAACTCCAATTTCTAGGACAGTGTTGGAGCTGTGTAGCTTGGGCATAATATTACTGACTGTAAGGCCAAGGGTCTTTTCTTTAAAAGTAAAGGGAAAATGATACGGTAAAATCATGGGAAAATTGTGCATGTGTATGAGTGTGTGCATGCATGCCTGATAAAGTGCCTGTGCATGCACACACTTCATTCGAGTGTGTTGAAGCATGCTGAAGTCGAGGAAATAGGAACGGATGGGTGGCAAGGCTGTCTTTTTTCTGCTGCCAGTTTGGATAGAACATAGCTAGCTAATACTTAGAGGACAGTACTATAATGACCTTGTTTTGGGATGTCTGAGTGTTAGATGCAAATGCCACACTGCTGTTGCCATCGTCGATGGGAGTCCGTTAGGGATAGTTAGCATCTGCATTTGGTGCAGTGTGATAACAGCAGGCAAAGTCCACACACAGAAGCAGGTGCCGCAGGTGGTGTTCCAGGAGCTCAGCTGCAGGGTGCTCAGAATGAAAAGGAACAAGGAAGAAGATTGCTTTGGAGTTAGTATTTCCATGGGCCAAAGAGGAAGGAAAGATACTCCTGCAAGGTGTGTTTAGTTAGGGTTTGAGCAGAGCACCCTTGGGGTGGGGTGTTTCTCTGTAGGCAGTGTGCTCAGAACCCCAGGACTTGGGGTGTGGGCGCCTTGGGAGTCCTGAGGCCCCTAGATTCACCGGGCACAGCCCTCCGAAGCCTCCCCTTCCACCCAGCTTGCTTAGCTAAAACTCTTGGCAAGAGGGTGCACACGGGAGAAGCATGGGGTGGCCAGCCCCTCAAGCTGCTCTGGCCGCTGCACTTCTGCGCTTCGTAGCGAGTGGGGCTCTCTGTGCTCATCGGCGAGCGTCTTTCATTAACAACCGCAGGATGCGTAGATGGTAGGGGTTAAAATGAACCATATTCTTTTTGTGCTTCTGAAAGAGGCAGGGGAAACGGAGGACCCTGGGGACAAGTTCTTGAGGTTCTCGAACAGGTTCATGACTGTCACATTAGAAATCCGAAAAGATCTGCCGTGGAGTTCATATTTGATCATTGGCTCCATAAACATTACCTGTCACGTAAAGATGATTTTATAGTGTTTCCGTCTGTTGGTGACACTGACTTGGGATGAGAAGAACCTGGGTGTGGCCGATGGGCCGTGGCCATCATTGATTTGCTTTTACATTCAAATATCCGACTTGAAGTCCAGAAACATTTAGCTTAATGAATAGCATTTAGCTTTCTAGTTAGTTTTCCTGTTCTTGTGTTTCCACTGAGTTGAGTGATCACCAGGACTATAGAAATCATGTCCGGGGAACCTCTTTGGAGCCACCATTACGGGAACATCAGCCTCTGCTCCAGAGGCGCCCCCGTGAGAGGCGGCGCCCAGGCAGGCCCGCCGCTCTGCATCCCTTTGCTAACAAAGCTGAGGGTCTTCAGGACTGGCAGGAACACATCTGATGTCGGGGGTCTGAGCCCGCCTTGTTCCCAGCCCAAAGGGAGGGCTGGGGGCGTGCAGGAGGGGCCCCGGCAGGTGGGCATGGCTGGCTGGCCCGGGCCCTGCAGGCCACCGCCGCCGAGGGGGTCATGGGAGCTGGTTCACTCCACTGTAATTATGCTCCATGGAGGTCCCGATGTGTCCTTCCAGAGGCAGGCTGGTGTGCCCGGGGGCTGCAGGCACATCCCGTGCGTCAGACAGACTAACTGTGTCTTTGTCTCCCTCCCCCACCCGCCTTATCCACCAGGGGTGCTCCGGACACAGGCCCACCAAGGAGACTTCATCTGTGCAGAGTGTGGGAAGTGCTTCCAGCAGCCCAGCCACCTCAGGGCCCACATGCGGGCACACACAGGTACCCGGCTGCCCCTCAGTCCTGCCACACGTCCCTGGGGGCACTGGGGCGGCGGCCTGTCCTCTCGGCCATGAGGGAGTGTGACCGGCCTCTCCTGTGCGGTGTGCTGGACTTTCCCATCCAGCCCAGAGATGGTTTCCTTTATACCCAGGTGCCTTGCGGTTAATTTGAGAATAGCCTGTTTGCAGAGCTCCATTTTAATGGGAGGGCAGCCCCCGGAAATGACTCTGATGTTCTACAGTACACAGGGCAGCGAAGTGGGGGTGGCTCGGTCTGTGCTCACCGGCCATGGTGGGCCCTGTGTTTTGGGCTGGGACCCCCGGGGCTGGGTCCAGGGCGTGTGTGAGGGAATCCAGGCCCCCTGGAAGCAGCTTGCCTGTGACTGTGGGTGCTGCAGGCGGTGTGTGGAGGCCCTCGCACTGGCCTGGGTGCCTTCTCAGGAACGCGCAGGCTGTACTCACGGCCTGTCCAGTGCGGAGTGGCCAAGGCTTGATGGTGAGTATGGTGGGATGCAGGTCCTCTGCACAGGCACTGATAATGCTGTCAGAACCAAGTCTGAATTAAAGAGGGCAGTGACTCCTGCCACCACATGTTGGGGTAAACCTGCGTCTTCCAACTGTAGGTGAGGTGCCAGTGTCTTTTTTTGTGGGAGTGCTGAATCTGTCATGGCCTGGTTTAATGTGGCGTCGTGGTGGGGCTGGCATGTGCATCTACTAACACACCCCCTTGTTCCCACAGTGGTGTTTGAGTCTAACGGCCTACGAGGCGCTGAAGTCCATGCCACGTCCGCAGATGCCCCCAAACAAGTAGGTCTGACCATTAATCGGAGTTTGGGTTTAATGTGGGAGCTGGGAAAAGGTGTGTCCTGGGGTTCATCACATCACCAAATGGCTTTCTTCCAAATTTGTAAGTAACTTGATGTGGCTCTGACTCAGAAGCGGCCCCCGGGACAGTCAGGGCAGGAGTGCCGATGGGCACTGTGGTCATCTTGGCCATGAGTGACGTGGGTGAGGTTGAAGCAGCTTTTCGGTCTCGGGGTGAGGGACTCAGTAGAGACTTCAGGTGACTTCAGGTGACTTCAGCACTAGGAATTTATGCTTTTCATCCGAAATTTCCAACTTCAAAACAGTGTTTTTGTGTTGTGCTGAGACTGGTGTTTCATGGCTGTGTCCCTGTCTCCATCCGATTCTCTGCGTTATGCGCCTCCCAGAATGGCCATAATGTGTATGTGTCCACAGGCCTTAGCTTGTAAACCATCCTGCGTCCACAAAGGCGTCAGGTCGGTCGGGACCTCGAAGGAGGTCGGAGCTCTATGGTAGCGAAGCTTGCTCCATCCCAGGGGCTCGCGTGATGTCCCGGCCCAGCGGCTTGTCCTCCTTTCTGTCCCTCCTACGGGATGTCACCCCCACCCTCTCCCTCCCTCATTCTCCCAGCTCTCTCTGTTCCTGCTCTTGCTCTGTAGCCAGTGGCCATAGAGTGTGTGTGTGCCGACCCTCCCCTTCCCAAGTGAAGAGGGTCTTCCCTGCGCCCAGAGCAAACCCCCGAGGCCCTGTCGGGTGGTCAGCGGCCGTCGCCCAGTGACCGTCTTTGTGTGGAGCCCATGGCAACGATGACGGCAATGTCCAGGCGCCTCAGGGACCATCTGGTCTGTCCCCTGGAGGGGCGGTCAGTGTGGGGAGCAGCTTCCAAGGGCCAGCTGCTTGTTGTGGTTGAAGGGGCTGAGAGTGGATGTCATCAGCCAGACCGGGGGTTTTGTTTCAGCTTTTCATCATCTCCGGAATTCCTGCTTGTCGTTGAAAGGCTCTTTTTCACGTGTCATTGGTAAAATGCCTTGCTGTTTGTTAGGTTTTTAGTGACTTCTCTCTCAATAAAACCATAGTTTTAGAATGTAAAGCCATTATTTCATGACACTATGACAATTTATGAAATAAATGACATCATTCTGAATGCTGAATAAAAGATTTCCAAAGACAAGTCAAGTCGATTTAGGTGGCACCCTCCGTTTTAACAGAAATCGCCCCCTGAGATGACCCACCGTGATGTGTCAGTAGTGAGGTGACAGTGAGGCTGGGCGGTGACTGGAGAACCCCACACTGAGATTGCAATTGTGGTCAAGTCCAAAGGGTCCTGTGCACACAGTCGGCCCATTAGATCCACTAAGATGTGGCTTTTTGATAAGCATGACGGGTGGAAACCACCTGGTAGTTCTGTGAATAACTCAGATTCTCCAGGAGCATGCATCAGTTTATTTGCCGCATATTAATTCTACCCAAGCCTGTAAAATGCTTCTATCATCAGGAGAAATAGGTCAATAAAGCAAATCACTTAAACGGTATTTTAAGTTACTGGTTGTGGTGGAGAAAAGATGTATTTTTGTCTTCGCCCTGTGAGTGCATGTTCTGCTGTTTAATACATATCACAACCAACCTCACGGTTTCCCATTCAGAGCAACTCAATCCTGTGGGTTCAGTGACTCTCAGGGCAAGGTCCACGGCTCAGCTGTCTGTCTTTCCAGCCTTGTGACAGTGGTGGTTCAGGCCTGTGGCGTCACCCTGAGCTGGACTTATCTCCCTCTCCTGAGGACGGCTACTATTTGATTCCACATTCGGGATCATGGCCACTGATGGTACTTTTTGTCCTTCATTCCATTTAAAATAGCTTTTGTTGATCAATCACTAAATGTTCCGGATCTCTAGGAAATTCCATTTTCCTTAGCACAGCCTAGAATTTAACAATTCCCATAGAGATCCTGCCAGTGTACCTGAAAAACGCATCAGCAGCAGGTGGAGGCTTAAATCTTATTGTTCTCTCTTACACGGTAGTTCTTATCATCTGCAGGAATTACAGTTGCTGTGTTAGATTTGGAGTATGTTGTAGATTCAAGGAACAATCCTGAATTATTTGTCTCTGGTGGGACTCATACTTACCAACAATGATCTTCTCATGTTAAGCATGCTTTACTAACATTAACTAATTAATACTTAAATCCCCTTCTTTTCCTGTGGGCTTTAGGGGCTGTGAATCATGGCCTTCTTTTTTTTTTCATCACACAACACTGTATTCATGCAGAAATTATTTGATCAGATACTTAACATTGATGGACTTTTATAGAGATGCATGACAGATGCTAAGTTATCTAATTGAAGTAGTATCTGGGAATTCCGTTTTACAATCTCACTTATTCAGTCATTTGCAATATTTACTGAGCACCTACTGTGTGCCAGGCTCTGTAATACTGGGCAACGATCAGGATACTGAGGAGACAAGGTAAATATTCCTCCTGGATTTGTGGTTCTTAAGGTCCACTGGGTGGTTTAGGCAAGACGATGGCAAAGTGGTACAGCTCTGCGATGGGGTGAAGGTCCTGGGATTCAGACGCGGACGTGTAGAGGACTGTGCTGGAGACCGAGAGCCCACCAGGAGGTCGGGGAGCAATTCTGCGAGGCTGGAGGAGGGGAAGCCCAGCGGAAGAGCGGTAGGGGCACCGTGGGGTCCTGGAGGGGCATGCCGACATGGCCAGCAGCATGGCGGCTCAGAAAGGGCATCAAGCTAAGCTGAAGTGCCCATTCCAGACAGATGGCCAGGCACCACATGGAGGTGCCCAGTCCTGGAGGATGCTGAGTTGGCCCTTGTTAGGGTGGCCGGGGAAGAGCAGATGGGTATGGGGCTATTCGGGTTATGGCAGAATGTTATGACCAGAGGCGGGTGCAAGAGGGGGCATTGTGGTGACCCCAGCTCTGGCTTGAGGCTCCAGGTCTGGGGAGGAGCCAAGCCCAGACCTCCGGCGAGTGGGGAGCAGTGCAGGCCAGGCCCGGATCGCATTCCAGGCCAGCTCACCGTGACTCTTGGGGGTCCACGCAGGAGTGGCCAACAGGCAGACGCAGCTCCTGAGACCCGGGCTGTGGAGTAGACACTCTCATCCCGGCTTCTGCGTGCGTCACCCCCTCTCCGAGGCGCCACTCCAGCACTGACCTGTGTGCCAGCTGTGGCATAAGATGGGAGCTGGCGTGAGCCTGGCGAGGGAGCCACGCTCAGTGAGTCAGCAGCGGGACTCGGCTACTCTGGGAGCGAACCACCGTGTCAGGGACTGGGACTCGGGGACTGTGTGGGGTGCACGCACATGGCTGCGCTTGCTGACACCAGCACAGAGGCCGCCACGGACGGGCCGCACCGGGCTGTCCAGGGCCTGAGCCTAGGGGCACTTTCTGCATCTCACCCCAGCGGTGCACTTGCACGTGCTCTTATTTTGTCTTGTTTCATTTCACAGACTAGCTGGTAGTGGTTTCCTGGGAAAACTGAGTTTGGGGAAAGTGTTGTCAACATTGATGCAGTTTCAGTGCACTACCCTGTTCAGAGACACCATTCTTGAGTTCACACATGCACAGCCGCCTTCACTTTGCCATATTAATATTTGAATTTTCTGTGTTGCGTGATTCTGACAAATCATGCATTTGAGTGAAGCAGTTCAGGCATGAGAACAAATCAATATGTTAACATTTATTTAATTCAGTGAGGTCAGAATGAGCAGAAGCATTGAGAAGAAATAAAATGACTCCCTTTTGCTGTTTTTGGTGAGGGTCTCTGTTTTGCACACATGCTGGCGGAGCTGCTTCTGAGCTCCAGGCATGCACTTTGTGTCACGATCCCAGAAGCAGGCGTTTCTCGTCATCACATTCCTCTGATAGGCCGAGAGGAAAGGCTTACTGGCTCCTTACAAGTTTAAGATCTGGATTAAATGAGAGGGTTTCCAGGAAGTAGTTCGTGGTCACAGTATCTCTTCTCCATGGATCTCATTGCATTTATTATCAAAGGGTTGGAGGGCTGGCAGAGAGCATCTATAAGCTGGGGGGGTGATCTTCCAGCCCTTGGGAATAAAGGCACCCAGGGTGTGTGCTTGTGTTATGAAGATAATTCTTATCAGGGGGGTAACTGCTACTGCAAGCAGAAATCTTAAGTGGGGGACTTCCAGGTGTTCTGTCATAGATTTCACATGACTGATTAATATTTAGTTTCTTAGTCATCAGTATTCATCATTAGAAAGAACCTTTTTTGAAAATAATATGCTGAAATATGGGTGCCATTGACTGATAGAGAAAAAAACTGGGATGTCTTTTAGTGTTGGGGGTGGGAATATAATAGTTTTCCATTGAATTGTTATTAAAAATTAGAAATTTAAGTAATGTTTAAAACCAAGAAAAATGAACTCTCTCTCTCTCCAACTCCTCCCTGATTTGGGGATTTCAAAGAACAGACCGATTTTTGCTGAAATACAAATTCTGGTGTTTTGATTAGATATCTTGCAAAAATTAAAGACTATTATTAATAGTTTATTTCTTATTATTCTAAGTGTTATTTTAAAATAGTTAAGCTGGAGAAATAATTCCATTTATCAGTATAACAGGAAGTGAGAAAATAAATGGCGACCTAATTTGTCTGATATTTAGCAGTGGATATTATAATTCAAATGGTGGCAAATTCACGTCGGCTGGCATATTTGAGTATATGCAGAATATCTTTCTAGTATCGCTTTTATGGTCTCATATCACAGATCAGGTTTTAAAATTCAGCTTATTTGTCTAAGCAGCCTTCTTATTCATAAAACCAAACAGATGTCTTAAAACACGCTGTCCACCTTCTTCTACATAGAACACACTACAGAATGCCATGAGCATCTCCAGTGATTTATCCAAAATTACCTGCAGAGATTTGAGCCCATCTTTACTTACGGCCTGTCTGGTAAAGGTTGGAGCCTGCAACGTTTTATGTGTAATGTCATTAAGCAGTTAGTGTCACACCACGTGTGTCCAATGTAAGCCTTGTTCAGTAGCTGGCCTCCCTCTAGAGGCTGAGAGGTTCCTGTGTCCTGGGGGATTCAGGGTTTGTGTGTCATCCACCCCCATGAGTACCTACGCATTCCCTTATCTTATAAAGACAAAAGGGAAATGAGGAGACCTCATAGAGTTCCAGACGTCAATATCCATCCCTATGACATCAAAACGCCTTAAAGATAATATTTCCTTCACCATTACAGGAAAGGCCATAATTCACACAGCTGTGAAAAAGAAAAGCCGTATTTTCTAAAAGCTGCTTCTCATTTTCTGGCTACTCTTTCTTTGTAGAAGGAAGATAGCAACTTGTGTGTGCTCAAAATATTGTGTGTTCACCTCATACAAGGCTTCCTCAGACTCCTTCTATGGCTGCATTTTCCCCTTTGCCCAATTTCTCAGATGAATTTCATTCATTTGAAAAAAAACACCCCATAGTAGCGCTGTATTTGAGAAAAAGCGCTGGTCCCCATGAATCACTAAGTGCAAACGACTCTCTTTAAAAATGAGGCGCTACATGAACTCACATGTCCAGTTATAAGGAGTACTAGACATCGGAGCGTCTAGATTTATGGAGTAAATCTAATAACCGAGTTAGTTGACTTATCCAGATTTTGTGGTCCTTCTAAAATAAACATTTTAAGACTTCCTGAGCCCTGCATTTTAAGCTTCAGTCCTTTAGAGAGAGAAAACGCCTTCTAGTTGGTGCTCTAGTGGTGGTTTTTACTCTGCCCAGTGCAAATTTGCGGACTGTGTCCCCAAGGAGGAGAAGTCCAGGTAGGACGTGGGGACTGGTCTGTGTTGTGTGTGTGAAATCTAGGTACACAGGACACGTGCTTCCACATCCTGCGTCCACGTCCTGGAAGTACCGGCAAGCCTGTTGGCCGCGTGTGGTTGCTGACGGCTCCCGAGGCTGGTCATCCAGCACCCAGCGGCAGCTCCCGTTTTTCTCTCTGTAAACACAAAGGCCGTTTGCCGGCCGTGCGTGTCTAGAACCAGTTCTGAATGAGCCCTGTTGCCGATGAATCTCTCCACAGCATAATGTCACCATGCAAAAAGTAAAACATCTTCCTGAGTTTACGGCAGGGGATTCACCATGTACTTAACGAAGTTTTATCACATCTCTCATTCAGCTGTTTGCTGCATTGCAGAAAATAAACTGCTGTCTACCACAGTGCCCACCCTCAAGCCCTGTAAGATCTTGTCAAGCGTCTTTTTGACTTGCGCTCAATGTCACGAATGTAGGGCTAGTTTTCAATGAGTCTTCTGAAACTTAACGAAAGGGACGATCTTAATTCATTGTGTCAACCAGGTCCTCTCCCCGCCCCGCTTGCTTCGAGGGTTCCTGTAGGCCTGGCTGGAAGCCAGTTGGAATTTTACGTGAGTCCTGTCTTTTCTGTATACGTGTTAGTTCAAGCGGTTGGCTTCACTTCCTCAAGACTTTAACTGAAGGTTAATGCAGTTAAGTAAGATTCATCTTGCCCGGCTGTTTTCGTCCTCAGATGGTGAACTCCGTTGTTCAAACAGTGACGCTGCACATGTCGTTGAAGAATATTCTCTAAAAGCTTCAGGCTCACGTGATTCTCCTTTTATCGTGCAGACTGTAGAATACCCCTTCTGTTTTCCCAACGTGGTAATTATTTGTGGGAATCCAAAAGCTCCATCAGGTTCTGACAGACCCACGTGAGAGCTGTGCTTTCCTTTTTGTTCATATGACCCGCAAATTCAGCCTTGTTGTGGAACTATCGCCTGTGCAAATCCACTCTGTCGTACCGAATTTTGCTGTTTTGATTCCTCCCACAGTCCCGTCCTGCCAGCCTTTAGCCTTTTCTCCAGAGCCCGTTCAGACACTGTTACCTGCCATTCTCACATAGTCGGAGAAGTCGGAGAGCCTCTACATCACTGGGGACCGTTTGTGCAGCGGCCCCTGTGGGGCAGGAAGGCGCTTTTAAAATGCATCCTGCTCGTGGAAGATGGGTTACAGCTTAAGTCAGGGGGCTTTGTCGACCTGACCACGTTGCTCCATGAAGGTCATTGCTTGTATTCTTGGATGTTGATAAGAAAATTAATGGTAAAATGCACTTAGAAACCACCAGGCAGAAATGAGATTTTCTGTTGTCTCCTTTTTCCCATCCAGGGGAGAGACCATTCTAACACAGATCCCGTCCAGACAGTGCCTCTCAGAAAGGGAACCTAGAGACACGTTTCCGACGTACCCTGGTGCCCTGTGACAGCCGTTTGCAGCCCCTCGTGGATGTCCCCTCAGTGCCCCGACCGCTGCGGAAGGACAGCCGGAGGACCCCCAGTCCAACTCCTCAGCTCCCGGAGCCTCCGTGCCGGGTGGAGGCAGAAGGGAGACGCTTCTCCTCACTGAACGTTGAACAATAAATGAAGATGCTGTACTCTGGAGTTACATGTAGATATTCTGTATGCGTATGTGTGCTCATTGGCCAGTCCCATATTTTCTTGTAATAAACAGTGGTATCGGTGGGCGCACACGAGCACAGGCATCTATATTGTCCAAGACACGTTTGAGACACTGGAAAAAGATTCTCGTGTGTATCCGACAGAATGGCAAAGCCAAGCACTGTAAGAGAAGCCGCTGCGAAGCCGCACTGTCGGGGTCACCCCAGAACAGCGGAGGAGCGAGGGGACCAGGTGTTAGTACCGCGGCCTCTCCCTGTCTCAGTGGGTATTTAAAACAGTAAATAAAGAGAGGAAGGAGGTGGTGTTCAGGTGCTGTGGAAAACCAGGCTCCATGGAGGAGGGCCGGGTGACGGGGCCCTGCCTGTTCAGTGGTTCGCATTGGGACCCTTTGGGGCCGTCGCATTTCCCATGTGCTCGTCCCCTACTTCCCACCACTTGTCCTCAGCGAATCCGGCGGAGGAAACACATCTGTGGGATTGCTTATATCTGCTTCGGAAAAGAGAGCTAGTTGAACACTAAGCAGGCTTCTTTGTTTATTCTCAGGACCTTTTTGTAACAGGGCTACACTCTGCAAACTGCTCACAAGGCAGACTGCCCGTCCTAACAGATCCTCTAGCCACTGTCCCTCCCAACCCAGACCCGTTTAGTAGTAGCAGGAGGAGCCCTGAGCAGACGGGGCACCCTGGGTCACTAGGGGGCCACTGCTCCGGAGCCTTCCACGCCCCCTGTTCCATCTGCACCTGCACCTGCCCAGCAAGTCGGTGTGTTTTCCTCTTGGGCCTGGTAACCTCCACAAGACAAGGACCCTTGATCCCAGGATGTGGAGGGCCCCTGGCTCCTGGGTGGGGGCGGCTTTGTATACCTCTTCCTCAGTCACACAAAATGCAGGTTTTTGCAGTGGGGGTAAGGGCCCATAAAAAGGATCTGAAACCATGCAGTGTACGCAGTTCGAATCGTATTCCACAGATAGAGATATTTTCTTTTCCTATTACTGTGACACTGTGTGTGATGGTAATATTTCTGAGAGTTTCAGATTTTTGCACATATCATTTTATGCATTATCAAAAGTTACTGCTGCCTTGAATGAAAATGTTCTGTGAAATTTTTTGCAAAAGCTTTACTAGGTTTTTTTTAATTGTGAAATTTTGTAAAGGCAGGAAATGGAGTAAAAGGAGCATGCTAAATATATTTTTCAAAAAAGCAATAATTTTACATGTACAGAAATTATCCTAACCTTTAATACTGGTGAGAGCGACAGTTTACTTAATACAGTAATGGATTAGTGCAGTTTTTTGTAGGAAATGGGCTTCTGATACAAAGACTTGTTTAAACACACACATACATACACAAACCCTAATGTGTTGTTTTCCTGTTCTAATGATTTGCTGAATTATATTATTATTGTTGTTATTAGTTAATGTTTGATTCTGGATTCTACTTGTTACTGAGTTTAAATTACTTGACTTGCAAACAATGCAATGTGACTGGCTGGCTTCTATATATACGTATATAGACGCATATAGATACCTGTATATGCGTGTATATATATTTCTAATTTTTTTTACTTACCTTTTCATGAGATTCTTACACCAGATTTGTACCAGAATGATATGTCGTGTGTTGGTGTCATTAGGAATGTCTGTGCAGATACTATTAAGTGACTGTAATTGATGTTCTGTAAAGTTACTTTGAGCAAAATTGCAGAGAAACATCCTCCTGTTCTCCTTAGAAATCTAAATGCCTTTCTGTTGACTTCTGTTTGACCACTTTGATAGTTTTCCCAAAGTGATAATTTCTGCATTTTCTGGCTTTGGTTTTCTTGGCTGGAAGTGAACGGTGATAGTTCAGGAACCCACAGGGGCCAGGGATTCAGTCCTGGCTGTTTCTCTGTGTTTCAGTCATTAGAAGGAATCCTGTCCCCAAAGGGACACGGAGGTGTTGGTACATCCTTACTGTGAAGGAGCGACAGCCAGGAGCCCAGCTGGCCCTCAGAGCTGGACGTACCTTCCCGGACCCTCCTTCCCAGGGAGCCTGGTGGAGAAAGGGCTGTGTTCGGGGTCCCGCTGGCAGAGCATGCAGCCCAAGTCAGTTGGAATAATCGTGTGCTGAGGACAGCACCGTAAATAAGGTTTTCGCTCAGCCAGGCAGACAGACAGGAGGGGCTCCCCGAGAGTGCCTCGCTCCCAGACCAGCTCTCCAGCCTGACTGTGGTTTCTTCCTTCCACTGATCGTCAGTATTGTATTGGTTTCTTAATGCGTGTGTCAGTTCAACCATAGTATTTAATATGATTTGTGTTTTCTTATTTATTTAGCTAATATGTTTTGATTTGCTTTTTTTTTCGAATGATGATTTCCGCATGATCTCTCCTGTTAAGTCACCTTCTGACTGTTACAGATTTTCTACTACCTCCACCAATCTGCTGTTTCCTTGTTTCCTAACAGGATTTTTACAGTGTTGGCGTCTAATGTAACTTAGACAATAAAGGGTCTGGTCGTCTGCACCGCAGCCTCTCCGTGTATCTGCCCCGCCCGCTGCCCGCCGGCTGCTCCCGGTGCGGCCCTGCTGCTGGCGCTTCCCCTCGCTCAGCTCTTAACTCTCTGTTGAATTCAAGTAACACACAGATAATGAGCTTAGAGAAATCTTTCAGGTTATTCACTCATATTCCTTAATTTGAAGAATGAGCATTTAAAACCTCTGAAAAATGAGCTGCTGTCTTTGGAAGATCGTCAGCTGCTGGTTCTGTCACTTTCTGCCTGGTTCCTGGGAGGTCTCCTGGCAAATCTCAGATGGATAGGTTTCACCTTGCTCAAAACAAAAACACAATACACAATTTCAAGCCAAGTGGGCCTTTTGCCTTTTTGGTTTTGAAAAGTATTAAATGCTTTAAGAGGTCCTCCCCCACCCCCTCTATTTACTTATTTATTTTTTTAAACCAAGGAAGACACTGGTTTCCTGGACAGAAGGTGCTCCAGGAAATTGCACTGGTAATTGCATGTGGCCATTAGGCACCGTAAAGGAACACATTTGTGTCTGGTGTGCCAACAACCATCTCCAAACTTGGCCACCATACTACAGGTTATGTGAGGTCACTTACCCATCATACAGAGGCACTTGCTGTCGTGAATTTGACAATTCAGTCCCTTTAGGATGTCTGGCTTGATGCAACATGCAGCAGGTCTCACCTCTCTGTTAGCTTTCCAGGGAGCTGGCTCAGGGTGCTTTGCGTGCTTTCCACCAAGAGCAGCGTTGCCCACAGGCTGAGTGTCCTCTGGGTCCCAGGGCATGGCTGCAGCCCTCTGTGCACCTCCCAGGCAGCACAGTGCCTTGATTTGTGTGGCCAGATTCTCCTCGCTGACATTCCTTCTTTAAAAAGACAGGTTACCATCCCCCAGGCTTGAGAGGTTTCAATAACATGGAAAAAGGATGCATTTGAAATTTTGTTTGCATTTTCAAAATGCCCCTGTCTGAAGTAGTGCTTTATTGCTTTTAACTTGGGTGTGTTCTGATCACAGAACATTTTATTCACTGAGCAAAAACAAAACCGCAGGCCAGGACTTGGGAGGACATGGTTTGGGGGCACTCCAGAGCCAGGCAGCTTGCCCGTGAGAAGTGACCGAGGGAAAATGTTCATTCTTTGTGGACTTTGCTAATTATACTTTGAGGCAGTGAAATGCAAAAGACCATAGAATTTGTATTTCTTTTTTAAAAATACAATTTATAACATTATATTTTGTACTCTTTATATTAGAATTTGTAACTAGATTGATGTATTTAACTCTATTTCTGAAAAAAATAAGTCAATGTTTCAGTTATGTGATAAAAAGTATTTAGATAAAACATATTCATTCTATTGGAATTTGAAATCAATAAAAACATCTTGGAGTTCTTGAGATTTGTAAGACCTTTTTCCCCTCTTTTAGGAGGTGGCTTACATCCCTTGGCAGCCTTGTCTTGATCTTTGTTTTTTAATTTTTTTGGATGAACACAGAGCAAAGAGTTAGTGTTCTTTATTTATATAAACAAAAGAGTTCAGGATGATTCACAAGATAGTTCATCTGGAAAGATGCCCAGATGACCAGACTACTGTTTTTTGCACATCTTTTGGGGGCCCCAGCATATACCTACCACTGGGGCATTTTTGTTTTTGTTGTTCGAAAGCAGCTGTGCGTTTCTCATCTTTCCCCTGCCCAACTCTTACTGTCCACACAAAACACACACTTTTCTTGTACCTGCAGTATAAGCCACACACAATATTAAGATGCAAAAGGAATCCTTGATCAGATGAAATATACGAAGAACGGGACACAGTGGGTGGTGCTGTGGTCCAGTTATAGTCAGATGGCAAAAACAGGACTTAGGGCCCTCAGGTGCCCTACTAGCATTTTAAGTTTAAAAGATAGAATGTGTTTCAAAGTTTAATGATACAACTATCTGCATTGACAGAAAAGAGAAGGGATGAGGCGTGGCTTTAAAGTTGTGCCACAGACGGCTGGGTCCACGTTGGCTCAGTGCTCTGATGGCGCAGGCAGCCGTCTGCCTCTGTACTCGTGAAAACACTGACTGGAGGGGGGTTCCGGAAGCCCTTTTGATCGTAGACCACAGAACCAGACCTTGCCACCGGAGAGGTCTCTGATTCAGTCTGTTGGCGACCTGTCTTTTGGGTGGCTGGATTTTATGGGAAGGGTCCTGATTCTAAAAGACGTGGCAACTCCAGCCTCTTCAATAGGCAGATGACATTTCATGGAGGAGCCGACTGTGCTGTGGTATGGCAAAGCAGAGAGCCCCGCCCAAATCTGTCTGTGTCCCCTCATGTGCAGGGAGGGTTCCTTGCAGGTAATGGGGCACGTGACGCTCACCTGCGCGAACCCCGCAAGACCCTCTCCCAGGCCGCAGGCGTTCTGCGGGTGGCTGTGCACCTTCCTCCAGGAGAGCAGCTTGCATTCTTCTCTGTCTACTTAGTTGTCACCAGCTAGTGAGCCTAAGGTGTCCTGCCGTGAGCTGCAGGCCCTCCTTGGCTATTGGGAATCAGGAGGAAGACGGCAATTGACTATTTTCAGTGTCTGTACCTTTGCCACAGCCTATGTGGGATGCAAGACCTGGGCATGGCCGTGTCGCTCCCACACAGAAACTTACACATTTAAGACCCAAGAATGAACCACTCCGCGTATGACAACACCTTTCTTTCCCCTTCTTGTTGTTGGAAAACTGCGTGCATTTCTAATCTGCACTCTTCATGCTCTCAATCTTTCCTTTTTAAAAGGTGAGTTGTTACTCAAGAGATTAGCAAAATTATTGAAAGAAAATGGGGAAAGCCTTAGTCTGTGTGTGACAAGCCCTTGGACTGTCTCATCTCCTCCGTGCTGAGCGCTGCGCGAGGCCGTAGCAGGGCCTGAAGGTCGGGGGATCGTGCAGGGCCCTGGAAGCGCAGGACAGTCACACACCCACGCGGCAGCTTCCTTGATGGGGAGGGGAAAGAGGGCAGATAGAGGGAAATGAAGACTGCAGTGAGAACGCTCTTCTTTTTTTCTGTTTCCAGCTGAAGAAAACTCTCTGCACGGTGGCCAGGCTAAGCCCTCCATTGACGGGGTGTTGGGTCTGCTAAGGGCATAAGGATAAACCCATAGCTTGGCTGCCAAGAGTTCCCGTTTTTAACAGACAAGAGGAGTCTCACCTCGTTCTGTGTCCAGAGTTGCCGGTGGAGGAGCAGGACTCAGGCCACGCGGAGCGCCGTTCCCGCTTGGCTTTGTGCTGTGCTGTCTCTGTACCCGTTCTGCTCCGTTTCGGGAATTATACTTAGAGAATGGCGAAGACAAGCTAGAACATTTCCAAGAATCAGAGAGGGGCAAAAATTTTCAGAGCAGAAGGGTTTTACACAAGGCAGCAGTCATGAGATGCCGGGGGGCCGCTGTGGAAGAGCTGGTGGGGCCTGTGGGTGTGTCGTTGCCTAGCTGCCTGGGGGCAGGCGCGGCTGACTTTGGCCTGACACACAGGATCACCTGAGGGAGGGTAAGGCCCTCCCACCGGGGCACAGTCTGCCCCGTATCAACAAACATCGTGAACCTAGAGGGTTCAGGCCGGAGGTTGCTGCTCCTTTTTGAGGCACTCAGCAGGGGCCTTGCACAGGGTCAAGTCGGAAGCAGATACAGCCTCATCTGGCCAGGCTATCTCGGACTTCTTTGAAATCACAGACATTGTACAGAAAGTTTTTGACATTATAAATACATTCAACAAATTGTGGGTGCCTGCCGTGGCTGGGTACAGCCCCGGGTTCCGGGAGAGAGAGAGAGAGACGAACACACCGGAACCTGTCCCTGGTGCTCCCGGCACGTGAGGAAGGCAGATGCCACAGCGAGTTCTGACTAGCGGGGTACAGGCTCTCCGGGTGTAGAGAGAAGAGAGGTGGGTCCCCTGGGGAGAGACCCAGGATGTGACCGAGTCACCCAGATGCCCACGTGTTACCAGGTCGAGGTGGCGCCCGCCTGAAATACTCAAAACAATTTTATAAAATGGTTGGGGTAATTAATGATTTGGGATTAATGTCTGCATCTGATGCCAGCCTTACAGTTGACTGGGATAATTTCTAAGGAGCTCTTGAAGTAGGAGCAGAAAGGAAGGTGGATTTCAGCCAGGAAAAGCCTAAGGAAATGTGTTTTAGGAGATTCTCCCAGTGCATTTAAAACATATTTGGAATTGTCAAATCTGACAGAGGAAAGAGACCAAGATCATTCTCAATTATTCCTTATTGACCCTGACTCCTAGTGAGGCCTTAGGCATAAATGGGCCACCTGTGTCAGCGGGCAGGACGCTGTGATGAACCAGTGCCGGCGAGGTGGCCTGGCCCCGCAGAGGCTCCGGGTGCCTGTCCCGGGGCCACTGTGCACACCTTGTCATCACCGTTCAGAGACGCAGCGCCCAAGGGGCGGCTTGGACGAGAGGCAGAGAAGGTGAGACCTCTAGTTAAGACCTGGTCAGGCGGTTTTGCACAGGGAACTGTCTCAGTCCAGATCTAGGTGGCCTGCCTTTCGGCCTTGGGAGGTGAACCCAGAGCCGCAAAAAGCTGATGCTCACAAGGACGGCCTTGCGTCAGGAACTGAGTGGAGGTTTCCGTCTACTTTCTCTCACTTGAGTCTCTGCACACGTCAGAGGAGCCGTTAACTCCATCTCACGGGTGGAAAACGGAAGTTCAGAGTGGGGCAGCTTACCCAAAGTGACGACCCCAACTTGGGGAGGTGCCATTGGCACCCAGACCTGCCGGGCTCACGCGCCCACTGGAGTCCTGCCTCAGCGTAGCAGGTGCAGGTTAGTAAGGAACGTGACCTTCACGTGACATGACTGCTTTCCAAAGCGCCCAGGCATCCCTGTCCCCAGGCCACCACAGCGGCCCTGCTTACGGGGTGTGGATACGTCATGGCCTGTTCCAGAGGTGGGTGGGGGACCGTCACCAGATCAGAGCAGAGTGTGCTAGGTTCCGAGCTCCTGTGCACACAGGGATGAAAGCGCTGATGCGGATGTCGGGAGACCAGGCTGTGAGTTCCAGGCATGCTGTGCACCCGACGCGCACGTCCAGGTTCAACCTCTGCTTCCTGCCCTCTCGCTCGAGACCTCTTCCCACAGAGCACCACCGGGCACACACCTCCCTGGTCCTCGGCCCTGCCTGTCCAGTGTGCCCCGTCCTGTGATGGCTCAGCCCCCTAAGCTGTCCTGGTACTTCACGCCGCCCATGCTGGCGCTGCAGACCACCACCTGCTGCTTTGAAATGCCTCCTGACAGTTAAAATTCTAACTCTTGTCTATGGAAAATCACACCACACACACACACACACACACACACACACATTCTTCATCATCTGGCTTAAAAAAATCACAAGTTTTGCCAAGTTTTGTTGCTACATTTCACTTTGTTGTGGTCATTTTGACTTGGAATACTTTAAGTAACACCCAGACACCATGACATTCTAACTGTAAATACTTCGTCTCCGAGAGAGATTTTTAAAAAAACATACATGCTCCTTCCCTATGCCCTACACCCTCTCAGTGGCATTCCTTTGCCAGCCCCCTGCCAGGTGTGGGTTCTCCACCCCAGGTCTCCTGGTCCCCCTCAGTGGCACCCTCCTCTGCACACACTTTCCCTAGAGCCACTGAGGTTGGGACAGGTGCCACCCCTCTGGGTGGGAGTGCCGCGCTGCAGGAGCCGAGCCTGAGCCTGAGCTGGGCACCATTCTCCCAAGTCTGCGGCAGTGAGTCCGTGTGGGTACGTGGCCTGACCCGCTACTCCGTGGGCCTCCGAGCACAAATAAGGGGGCTGTCCTGACTTGCCCATTTGTCACAGGCTGTCCATTCTGTGCCTGGAGTCCGCCCTGCCCCTCTCCCCATCACTCCAGCCTCAGTCTCCCTCTCCTCTGCGCCCTGGGATGACCACTGTGGTGTTCCTGCCTGGCCTACTTCCCATCCCATTCGGTCTCCCTCCGTGCCACTACAGGAAATTTCTGGAGTATGTGTAAGATCTTTCCATTCTCCTGAATCATTTCATTTCATTGATTTTTTATTGCCTTCAGAGAAATTCAGGATTCCTTCCAGAACTAGCAAGTCACACAACCCTGGAAGGCTTGCATTTCCTGGCGCTTTATTCTTGCTTTCCTCCGAGACCCCAGTCAGGGAGAGCCCCCCCAAAGGAAGGCTTGCTGGCACTACCGTCTCCTCCTGCACATCCTGTCCACCTGCAAGGTGGGCACATGCCTCCCCATGGGATCTCCGGCACACTGGGATCCCCACCGTAGCACTACCGTGTTGAAAGTAAACAAACCTCTTCCTCCCACTGGGTTCTGAATCGTGTGCAGGCAGAGGTGTCCATGGGCTGCTTAAGAGCAGGTGCCTCAGACATCCCC